GTAACTGGTATCTCACGAAGTTTAACTTGGTTTTGCTTTGCTGGCTGTGGACGTTGCTTTAAAATTTTGCCTTCTCTTGGCTTTCTTAACACTGTGTATGGTAGTCCTGGAATTAGATCAGCAGTTTTTAAGACTGCTCTTCCTCTTGACTGGTGAATCTTCCTATAGGATTTGATGGGACATCCTTCATCCTGGGTCTCTTCTGAGACTTGTTTTGGGCTGAAAAATGTGAGGGTTCTACTTGTTTTTTCTGGTTTGGTTTTATTTTTTGTCCTTAACTACCTGAATGAAGCTATGACTGTATTCTTACAACCTATGAGTTCATACGCAAATTGGAATAGTCCTATACTCTCCAATTGCTAGCTTAACTCAGTAGCCAAAGTAAAGCCTAGAGTCTAACCAAACCCTGCAACTCATTTTCATCCAGTGGATGTCACTTAGGCCAGTTAGTTATTCACTGGGTTGTCCTTAATTCAGCCCATCTGTCTCAGTAGTAGCTTCATTTTCTTCTTCCTGAACTGATCACCACGAGATTTTAGGATTTCTTTCTGCTCCCTTTCTCATGATGTTGCAACATCCTCTGTTGATGGCAAATTCCATCTTTATCCTGATCTTATTCGTATCTTCACTACTTACCCACAGCTTGATTATCCATATATATAATACTGCAGATGTTCTTTACTTGGCTTCTTGCTTCAGTCACATCGCTCCCAAATTGTGCATTGCATGAGACATTTTGCATTTAAAAAAATTCTCTAACTCCTTGCACCTGTAGTCTCATGCTGACATGCTGTACTTTTACACTTTTTTGTGCTTCTATGTGTGTGTTGCACTCTGGTTGGGGCAGGTGAGTGCTTGTATGGTAGCATCCAGTATAGCTATTACAGTTAACAGTGAAACTGTTTGGCACTGGTGAGGCCGCACCTCGAATCCTGTGTTCAGTTTTGCGCCCCTCACTACAAGAAGGACATCGAGGTGCTGGAGCGTGTCCAAAGAAGGGCAACAAAGCTGGTGAAGGGTCTAGAGCACAAGTCTTACGAGGAGTGGCTGAGGGAACTGGAGTTGTTTAGTCTGGAGAAAAGAAGGTTGAGGGGAGACCTGAAAGGGGGTTGTAGTGAGGTGGGGGTCGGTCTCTTCTCCCTAGTAACAAGCGATAGGATGAGGGGAAACGGCCTCAAGCTGCGCTAGGGGAGGTTTAGGTTGGGTATTAGGAAAAACTTCTTCACCAAAAGGGTAGTCAGGCATTGGAACAGGCTGCCCAGGGAAGTGGTTGAGTCTCCATCCCTGGAGGTATTTAAAAGACATGTAGATGTGGTGCTCGAGGACATGGTTGAGTGGTGGACTTGACAGTGATAGGTTAACGGTTGGACTCGATGATCTTAAAGGTCTTTTCCAACCTAAATGATTCTATGTTTCTATGAAAGTGGTAACCATTGGTTTTGTGCTATGCTGATACCTGTAAAGAAGTATATTATAGAATGCAGAAGAGACGTAAATTCAGACCTGCTGCTTGGTGTTGCAGAGGTGTATTTTGGATGTGGCAGGGAGAAAGAAATCTCAGGGGGGAGGGTGTTCTGTGTTTGTTTTGAAGTGATTGCATGCAATGCATACCAAGAAAATGGCCCCTTTTTATTTTGTCTTTGCATACAAGTACTTGCTGTCTTGAGACCATGTAGCTCTGAATTCAACTAGAAAAGCCAACAGCTAATGTGCTGGCATTCTTCACACTTCTCTTCTGCATGAGAAAGCCTAACTTTAGACATCCAACTTTCTAGATGTGGAATTAAGACATAATTGTAAAATTGTGCTGCACCCAACCGTTCGGACTTGTTTT